TATATATATATATGTATTGTGACGTGACGTTTTTCATCCGTCACAAGGGTCGCATGGCCTGACTGAATAGTGCAGTGTAGCGTCCTGGGTCCTCTCACATTTTGGGGACGCACCTGCGCTTTTCCCGCGTCGTTCGCGTATTTTACGCGTTCCGCGCTGCCGTTTTTTTATTTTCCCATTTCGGTGTATTCCCGTACCGAGGGTTACAGAGGCCGGCGACTCCCGCGACCTTGGCGGAGGGACGCAGTCTCACCAGAGAGAAGAGGAGGAAGAACGACCAGGATTGAGAGTCCAGAGACGACCGCTGAGGACAGACCCACCGGGGGGCACGATATCTGGCCCCGGGTCGCACAGGTGATATCTTTCCCGCATTCGTTACGCTTTTTTTTTTAATGTCGCAAAGCATCTTTATCGCACCCTCTTCCAGGCGCAAAGCGGATAGAGAGTCGGCACGACATGACGGGGAAGGCCACTCTGCGCTACAAGGACGGCGAGAGCTCCGGATAGGCGCCTCGAGGCCACGAGGCGGCCTGAGAAAAACTACCGTGATCTCTCAAATTTCGCGCGCCAGGACATGCGATGGACATGACGCGACTAGCCACGCGCCAATCAGGCGATAAGGTCCCCTCGCGGGGATAACGAACCCTGCGTGCGCTCGGGAGAATTAGCGCCCGGCACTTGAGCTGTGGCCCGCTCGGAGAGAGCTCACGAGAGGACGCAGGACGACAACCAATTACGAGCCTTCCAAGGTCAGCTAGAACGAGCACCTGCGAGGGAACTGCGGTGAGACGAACGTCACCTCTGTACAGTCGCCGGGTTCCGCATCCGGGAGGTGTAGTTATCGAATCTATATCTATCGGATATATAAGAGTGAATGCACGTGGTCTCATCGTATCTTAGAATTTCGCGGGATCAGAGTACGCGTGTCGCCTCCCGGAACGGCTCTTGTCGTCGGGATAATTCTGAGGCGTCCGTCAAGGCCACAGCCTCGTCATTTGTTATCGGTTTTTTTCTTGTTATCGCGGATCGCATGTTGCGTCGAAGTCCCATGCCGTAGTATTGTCGCGTATCGTCTCTATCGTCTGTAGCGTAAGATTTACCTGTTTATTCGGCTTTCTATGTCATAGCCCTTAAGGTCGATTGATAATCGCAATTGATGAGAGTGCGTATTCTGTCGTATCGAGATTGTGTATTGCCGAGCTTGCACGTATTCGAGTCTTCCCCTGCATCGCGTCTGAGCAGCGCGAGGTTCCGCGAGCGCGAACGAGGTCACGCCGTGTCCACGCTACAAGCTGATTGAAGAAGTTACAGAGTATTGAAGTTAGAGAAGGTCCATTGTAGTTAAAAAACGATCCTCTTGAAAAGAACTTTTTAAGAAACATAGCTAGAAATTCTTTTTAAGAGGATTTTAAGGAGGTTTCTTAACTATTATTAATTTGATGTTCTGTATATAATATTTGTATACAATATTGGATCATCTAAAAAGTATCCGCGGTTTTTTGTCATTAGATGATGTTGATGGTCATCGAGCAACACTAATCCAATTGTGTCAAACGAATGCGCGTCTGAAAGATGACATTTTAGGTTACATTTTTTGTAAACAAAGTTTGGTGATTCATCAATCGTGTCAAAAGTTATATTGATTTGAAAATGAGTGTAATATCTGAAGAAATACGCTATGTGATGCTTTTTTACTACAAAAAAGGCAAAAACGCGGCACAAACATGCAGACAAATTTGTGAAGTTTACGACGCGGATGCTATAAGTGAACGCAGGACGCAGGAGTGGTTTGTTCGATTTCGTTCTGGAAATTTTGATGTCAAAGATCGACCTCGCTCTGGTCGGCCAGTCATTGAAAAAGTCGATGAAATTTTGCAACTAGTCAAGCAAGACTGGCATGTGAGCTGTCAGGAGATAGCCAATGCACTAAGAATCAACCATATGACAGTTTGGAATCATTTGAAAAAGGCTGGCTACGCAAAGAAACTCGATGTTTGGGTGCCACATGAATTAACGCAAAGAAATTTGATTGATCGAATTTCTATCAGCGAAACACTACTAAAACGCAACGAAATTTCTGAAGCAAATCATCACAGGCAATGAAAAATGGGTGAAATACAAGAATATTGTTCGTAAAAGATCATGGAATAAGCACGGCGAACCACTACAAACGACTTCAAAGCCTGGATTGATGGCAAATAAGGTGATGCTGTATGTATGGTGGGATTGGAAGAGAGTCATCATAAGGTGTTACCACATGGCCAAACGATTAATTCAGAGCTCTAATGTTCACAATTGAATAGATTACAGGAAGCGATTAAGGAAAAACGACCAGAATTGATTAACAGAAAAGGTGTTGTCTTCCATCATAACAACGCTAGACCACACACATCTTTGATGACGCGCCAAAAATTGAGGCAGCTGGGTGGGGAAGTTTTGATACATCCACTGTATAGCCCGGACCTTGCACCGTCTGACTACTATTTGTTTCGATCTCTGCAGAACTCTCTTGGTGGAAAAACATTGGCCGACAAAAGAGCTGTCGAAAATCACTTGAAAAAGTTTTTCGCCGATAAACCATAAAAGTTCTACACGGATGGAATTATGAAATTACCCGAAAAATGGCAAAAGGTTATAGATAATAATGGCCAATATATACTTGATTAAAATTGATTTTCAATAAAGAAAAATTTCATTCAAAAATTGAACAAAAAACCGCGGATATTTTTTAAATGACCCAATATATTCAAATAAATTAATATAGAAATTTTAATTTGTTAATTTGTAAAATAATTAAGATAGAAGTTTAAAATAATATTAATATATAAAAAAAATATATTGAAATTAATAAATAAGACAGATTAT